AACAACGTGGTCCTGAATGTCGCCAAGATAGAGGCCAATGTCCATGCGAGGAGTGACCTTGTAATTTTCGTTACACCGCTTGACAAAGGCGCGCAGGACGTCGACCTTGCCGCCCAGGAGTCGCATGAGTCCTGTGAGATTGGCTCGTGAGCGACTCATCCGTTGAAGGAACGCCTGATGGTCCTCTGGTCTTGTGATGAAGACTTCGTCTTCGATTTTGTCTGCCTCACGCTCAATTTGCGTAATGGCAGGGAGGAAAGAATCCACAATGTCGTCACTACTTTTGCATTAGCAACTCGGGGGCGACGCAGTTGGCACAACAAGCGAGCCGGCTTACATCAGGGCGTAGCAGATCCAGTCACTACTGAGAGAGACGTGCTCAGTCAATTGGGAGATCCTGAAACGGACTTTGGACGCGTGCGTTTCCGGTGCGAAGCTGAAGGTGATGATGCCCTCGCGGAACACCACGAGGTACATACTGAAAGGCTCAAACTCGATGCCTTCAGGTTCCTCAACGACATGGAAGGATCTGAAGGAGGCGAAGTAGTAGGACGGGAAAAGCTCAATCTTTTCGCGACTCTCCTGCGTGCTAATGTCCTCGATGGTGAGCGGATGTATTCCGAAAGCGCTGGAGATGGCAACGACTTCTGTTGGCGTCGGGTTGTTGAGGTGCAGCCACCAAACACCATTGGCTGTTTCCTGCGAAGCATGGAACAAGTTTCTGACGTCCTCGCCGGGAAGAAGCAGGTCCCCGAATTCTGCAGCGTGCAGCGTTGACTCCCAGGCCGAAGAGAAGAAACTGAAGCGAATAGGCTTTGGCTGCTGCTGGGCCGCCGTCATGCCATGCGCCTGCTTGGAGTCGCGCGAAAGTCGAGGAGGAAGTTCCATAAAGTCTCCATCCGAAGTGATCATTGGGAAGTGGTTGGTGTCCCTGCCACTGGACTGGAAACTTTCGAAAGCGTGGGAGGCAGCACGCTCACTTTGCTCCAACTCGATCAGGGCGTCCAAAACGTTGAAGTTTATGGAAAGCTCATGGTTGGACTGCGCCATGCGCGCTGGTCGTGATATATCACTGTCACTGGACCTGATCGTTGCCAGGCTGGCCAGGCTTTCCGAGTCGTCAAAGTCCACAGTACCTGGTCGGCTGCGAGAACTCCGAGAGCTACGAGCATCGTCTGAACGGAGACTGGCACCGTATGCCACGTAACTACCGCGTCTTGCATCGTCGCGCCTCTCCGTTCCTTGCGTCTCGGAACTGATCGAAAGCCGGCCACGCTGCCGAGCATTGGCGAAAGCTTTCACGGAGCTGGGCGTGGGGCATCGCCGGGATTGTCGATCTGAGCGAGAGTCTGGCGAACCGGCACGGTCTGAGCGGGGCGCTCGATGGTCATATCGACCGATCGAGGCGTAGTCTTCGTCATCAGACATGTTGCTGGTCTGTACTTCTTTCCATGTACAAGTGGCGGATTGAATGCCTGATGGCCGAAAAGAGTAGGTGTGATGAGATTGTCGGGCATTAAGCCTCAAAGCTTGTCGATTAAGCTTCAATGCCTCTCAGGACGTTCTGTTTGCTTCCCCAGACTGGAAGTCGTCGCGTCGTGTCGCCGGCATATGAGGCGCGCAGGCGCTCAATCGCGTTGTGAGCGCCGGCATCGATGGAACGAAAATTTGGTGAATGAATGAACCTACAAAGAGGAGAGACGATGAAGGCCATGACCGAGATTCGAGATGTAGGGGAAAGCACGGTGATCAGATCTTGGCGCCCAATATTGCAGGCAGACTAGCACAGCCCCGTTGTGGCGGGGGGTTCTAATTGGTCTCCCTCACCCCTTTTGACCCTCCCGTTGATCTCAGTGGGAGAATCGGTCATCTTCCGCGTGGAGGCCAACGGCGGTTTATGCGAACAAGATATTCAGGACAGGCCTTAGGTTAAAGTACTAAGAGGACTGAGCACGAATTCTGGTCTCTTGTGGGTTTGCCTCGATAGACTGCCTTTTTAAGCATGTCACTTGCAAGGTCTGCTTGGGTACGATGCACGAATCAACACAAGAGAAGTCAAGGCCGCATAGCAATTCAGGAAAATATCCTTGGTGATAAGAGTTTCAATTGAAGTTTGAACTTGGCTGGATATGTAATTCCTTTAGGGCCCCATCTCCAAGGACGACTGAACACTGACGAGACCAGGAACCGGGATAGCACCCCATACAATGGACCAAGCACAACACAAACTGCCTCCATCATCAGCCCTCATTATTCGATGATTCATATTGCATAACCTGATGAAGATCCAATTTCGATTCATCAGTTTCTCGAGGGCATCATCGGCTAGAAAGTACATCTCCAACTTCAAGACCTACTCTAGGTTTGACGGCGTTTCGATGTCTTGCCTGTGCACGATCTAGGAGATGCTACATTTGTCACATGTCGAGAGCTCATTACTGTGAATGACCTAGATGAGAGCTTTGAGAGACCCTTGACTGCTGTGCATGTCTGTGCACAGCTTCATTCACTGGGTTCAGACTGAAATCCGTGAATATCGGGAACGGAATTTGAACATACGTGCAGGCCAGGTCGTAGAATTAAACGTAAACCGAATTCACCTGCTGCGGGATATGTGCCCCAGCTACTGGAATAACAGGAATAACTCCTTCATTCTTATTCGACATTGACACCCTCACCAACAACTCTGATATACAGCGCCTTGGAACCAGTAATTGCAGCACAAAGCAATCGCCCACGCAGCATCAGCGGAACTAGCACCATGATGCACTTCAAATCCCTCTTCAACTTCTTGTCCCTCCTGCTATCCTTCTCCACGATCACGCACGCCTTCACCTACTGGCTAGACCGCACCTGCCTCGCCTACCCCGCCGGTCCCGGCAAAACCCTGAGCCTCCGCGATGGCGGCGTCTTCGACGAAGTCTTCCAGATGGGCAAACGCGCATCCGAGCGCATGGACCGCATGAGCATCACGTCCACCAACGTCTGGGACAGGGACTTTGCGCGAAGCTACGCCTACATCTTCAACGACGACAAGGCACGGTCGCGCGGCATCGAGCGCAGCTGGCAGTGGAGGGAAAAGTACGGAGGCGACGGCAAGGACACGGTCTACAACGTGGTATTCAGTACGTATAATACTCCATATCCCGAGGAGTCCGCGACGGCCGAGGCAGAACTGACAATGGCAGACACGATGGCGAGCATCGGAAACGACTGGACGGAGACGAGAGTCAAGCTCGAGGCCGATGTGCGGTTCTTCTGTGACAACGGCGCCCACTGGACGGCGGACCCGGAGGGTGAGGGCTACGGGAGCTTTGACAATAATATGTTGTCCGAAATCAACTGCAACTCGCCCGGTATGCAGGGCCAGCTGATGGCGTTCGAGACGCACGATCGCATCTCGTACACCGACCCCGTCGACAATGGCGACGTCTCTCTCATCACGATTTATGATGCCGCGTTCGAGAGGGGCAGGAGCTATGGGAACTCGGATATTCGTCTGCCGGCTACCATAGGGGAGATGCGCAAGCTGGGAAGGGTCAAGAAGGGGGCCAGGATTGACCACTTTGAGGTGCTTTCCTGCATTATCCTTCATGAAGTGGGTTTGCTATCGCTCCGTCCAGTATCAGACGATCAAAAAAGCTGACGTCTTACAGCTTACGCATACTTGGCAATACCTCCATGAGGACCACAGCCCTGACGAGGATGACTCTGATGCCTCAGAGGCCGAAACTGGTGGCTGGGAGTCCGTTCTCTTCCAAGACGAAGACAAGGGAGCTTTGAATTCGGACTCGTATGGTACGTGTATAGATTCCAGAGCAGCTCAGAAACGTTGCTGACACGTGCAAGCTTTCATTGGAAAAGTTGCACTCCTGCTCGATGGAGCATCGTCGGAGAAGAAGGGCTACACGCTCGATCGTGATTATGTTACCAATCCCGAAAAACTCGTCAAAGGAAAGATTCGCCACTATCCCGACATCAAAGGAACACCACGAAAGTAATGACGCCGACTAATACGTATGTGGGTATGGCGGTCTGTCGTAGACTGGTGGTCAAACGGCTTTCCGACAGTTCTAGAAGGCAGGAAATGCTCAAGAGTAACAAGGTGAATCCTTCAAGGCTCGCCCAGTAAGCCACCAATAATTGACTGATCGGCGAAATGCAATTATCTTCCTCGGGCAGTGCGATACCTCGGAAGGGATTTCTCATCTGTAGGGCCAGATCTCGAAAGTCTCCTCTGGCAAGCGTTATCCAAGAGTGATGGAGCTCCAGCAATACTCAGTGGTTCTCCAGAGCCTAGCTATAGATGTCGGATGGATGAACCAGGCTCAAAAAGATGCGCATCATTGACATCACAGACGCAAGTCATGACACAAGCCATTGCAGCTGGAACAGATGGTGTATGAACATTCAGCAGCTAACCCTGGCGCCGCAAAGTACTAGAAACAACAAACAAACAGCCCGTAACATCAATCGGGGTCGAGGTATCCTGCCAAAGAAACAAACGCGCTGTCATGAGAAGATCGAAAGGGGAGGGGTGGGCGAGAAAAGACATGACAGCCAAAGGCTTTCCACGCCAGCACATGCTCTGTACACATAGCTGTGGTACGCCCTTGGGGTAAAGCCCAGGGGGGCAGACCCATAGGCTTGGGTGCTCCAGGATCACTTGGCGACAGTCTTGGGCTTGGCCGTCTTGGTAGTGGTGGCCTGCTTTCATGTCAATCAGAGCATTCTGAAGAGTCATAGACCACATGACGAGGCATATCGGTCCAGCGGAATGGGTACGGATAGCGGTTTCGCACCTTCTTTGGCTTAACCACCTCTTCGACCTTCTTCTCGGCCTTGTTCACACCAGTCTTGGCCTAAGAAAAGAGGTCAGTCAGGGTGATAGCTTGGTGCATTCGCCGTGCTGTCACTTCAAGAAAAGCAACTGCGGGGAGAGGCAGGGGTCGCGGCAGGACTGGGAGGAACGGGGTGCCGCAGGATGGTCGCAGAGTGCAATATGAAGATACACGTATGACGCGCCCGGGAATTGAGGCCATAGAGGAGAACCCGCATAGCCACGAGAAATGACCAGCAGGTATCCAAATCTGCGACTGAGGCATCACGCGCTGCTTTCCATCCAAGTGCCTTTCTGGTTGTTCGAAGGGCACGGGACCAAAATCACCAAAACAAACGGACGTACCTTGGCAACAGGGCCGTCCTTCTTAGGGGCTGTCTTCTTCTTTGTGACACCGGTGGGCTTGGCGCCCTTGACAGCCGGCGCAACGGGGGCCTTCTTGACAGCGGGTTTGGTGGTGGTCTTCTTGCGCTGGGTGACGGGCGCAGTGTCTACTGTCTCGAAGATGCGCGGCTTGGAGTGGCCGGTTTGCGAGCGGGTGCCTTCACGAGCCATTTTTGCAGATTGGAGGGATAGTGTTCGAGATAAAAAAGTCGAGAGATCTCCTGCTGAAGAGGTCAGAGAATGCGATCGTGATGCGAAGTATAATGCGACATGTTGGGAGAAAAGAGAGGAGGGCAAGAGGGCAGCGCGCGTTGGGCGCGAGATTAGATGCGACAACACCCGCGCGCGCATCGCGCATGGCGCCTCGACATGGTCGCTCGGGTTGCGATGGAGCTTCGCGTATAGGTTTGGCGAGAGTCGGTGTACTTACGATTGGATTTTCGAAGCCACGTGTAGTTTGCGACGACAGAAATAAGCTTCTCAGTGGGTGAAGTGGTAGGAATGGTGAGCGGTGAAGGTGGGAAGATGGTCCTGTTATGATGGGAAGGGGGGCCCACCGAGGGGGGAGGCCGTCGCAGAATACGTGGGAGGGGCGGACCAGCTGCGCCTGCCTGACTGAATGTTGCACCAGTTGCTCTTGCGACCTCAGTTGGCACCCCAGAGGTCAAGGACCACCTGGGAAGAGGCAAGCGTAGCCCGCCAGACTCGACTCAAATGACCCAAATGACACGAGCGCGCAGAAAGCCACCAGGATGGAACTGGGGACTGGATGGTTCCTGCCCGTGTCCCGCGCTCCGTGTTCCAGGCCCTTTCTGGCTTTGGTGGATGCTCTTTCTTCCTCTTCCTCTCTGTCTCTCTGTGTCATTCTTTCCCTCATCTCCCCACCCCTTCCCCTTGGGCGCCTCGTTCCCATGTTTTCGTCATTCCCCATTTGTTGTTTACGATTCTTCTCCTCCGTCGTCTCCTCTTGCGCTGAGAAATCTGTCGTGATGTCTTCTCGACGCCTAATCGTTTCCTCCCTTTTGTCTCGTCTTTTCACGATACGCACTTCTTGCCTCTCTGTTTCTCTCTGATCACTGTTGTTCTGCCCCTCTGGCCGCTATCTATCATGGTCAGCAGCCTTTCATCCACTTTTCCCCATCACACCATGACACGTCAACTACTCAAGATCGCTATTTGTCTCTCCCCTCTTCCGAATGCCACCGACCATGCCTGCCATCCCGCTAACCATCGTTCATCCGTGAGCACCACCCTCAGATGCGATGCTGGCGCCTACAAATTGCAGCAGCTCCGTCACTCAAATATCCTACCCTTTCAGCAGTGAAGGGCATCACTCCTTGCGCCTCTGCGTTGACCGAACCGTTTCTCGCACCCGCTGCCCCCACTGCGGGACACTGCGGGACGCTAAAGGGACCCTTGATCTAGCCCGCTGAGCTGTCAGGGCCCAGCGGTAGCACGAGCGACCCCAATGCCACGCACTCGTCGCCCGTTAACCTTACTTTGTTACCCCACAAGCCCCCAGCGGCATGCAGGTATCCTTGAGCTTGGCGAGGGGCAGGCATCGTGGCCAATTGAAGCTATTCCCAACGAGATGCGAAATGCCCTCGACGAGATCTTTTCGAAATCATCTTGCTGGCTTTTTTTTCCCACAGCAGCAAGCCGAGGCAGTCACTCGGAAGCTTCTTATATCGAGAGACTCTCTCAAGGCCATCATAAACCGAGCAGTCAAGTAATAAGGCATGCTGGTGGTGCAGCGTCATACCTGACCTCAACAAGTGTACAGGGGAGCAGGACATAACGTAGCGCACACATCCTCATGCTACACCCAACGCAGTAGCAGCAGACTTACGACTTTTTTGCATTGGTGAGAAGTCCATCAACTCAGGCGGCCGTGACTTTCGCATCGGACTTGCCGCAGCCTATTGTCTCGAGTAGCATCTTTACGACACGAAGACCATGATATAGCTAGGGACACGAAATTTCCAAGCATCTACATTCCTATCAGGACTGTTATACTTGCACCTGGATGCGGTTTCGGAGTGATCGTTGTTGTCAAGCTATTGCACCTCGACAAAGTATTTCAACCTTTGAAGAAACCTTGCCACTGTCTCGAACTTTCTTTCGGGCTCTAGGCTAGGCTTCTTCGTGTAAAGGTGAGCGTGATGAGATGTGGATGAAACAAGTGACTGGTAGTCGTCCTACTCTCAAGCGATCATCCCATCCATGAGCAAAGATGTACCCATATTAACTTCTGGGATGGTCCCACTGACAATACCACGAGGAGTGAATTTCTAGGGTCTCACGTCGAACAACACGTGGCTGGCACGATCACTCAAGGCAGCAATTGTAGCCATTGTTCGATATGCAAAACAAGAACATCAATAGCGAAGGCCTCGTTCCGCAGTTCACATCACTCACCATGACAGAGCAGAAGCACTTGACGGGAGACGCACGCAAAAAGAAAAGGTTGAAATGATATGTACGGCATGATGCATGGTGCCAAACCTTGATATGAACGGCCAGGCAAGTCAATATGGACAGTGAATCGAACTCGGCCCCGGGCCTACACCCTCTCTCCCCCTTTCTTCTCTGTAAACCAATATGACCCGCTTCAGCTGTTGAGGCACTGCAAGTTGACGTTAATATACAGTGTGTCGAGCATCTATTGTCGGAAAAACTTACCTGGCTGTAGTACGGGTTCAGGTCCACGCACTTGAGGCCGGCAGCGCACTGGAAGCTGCCCCTCCACTCTAGGCCGCCGCACTGCTGGTAGATGGGCTGGGCCTTGCCGGCGGGGAGCGCGAGAATCTTGGCAGCGGCGTGCTCGGCGGCAACGACAAAGTAGGCGGACGGGTTGGCCGTCACCATGCCGGGGAAGATGGAGGCGTCGACGACGAAGAGGTTGTCGGTGCCGTAGACACGCGTGTTCGTGTCGACGACTGAGTCGCCGTTGTTGATACGGCCGTCCTGGTTGCCGAGCTTGTTGGTGCCGATCCAGTGGTTCGCGCGCCGGTTGCTTGGCGACACGACCATGTTAGTGACGTACTGGCGCGCCGTCGTGCCCGGGGCCGGGTGGAGCCACTTGAGGTTCGGCACGTTGGCGAGCGCGCGCTGCAGGTTCTCGATACCTTTGATCACGGCCTCCTTGTCGTTCGTGTCGATGAGGTACGGGATCGTCGAGACGACCGTGTTGAGGGCTGGGGTGATGGTCATGCGGCCGCGAGACTTGGCGCCGCGGCCGAGGTATTGGGAGATGGTCAGGGCACCTAGTTGGTTAGTCGGCGGTAAATGCAGATGCGATGGCTGGACTTACTGCCGTCTACCTCGCCCTCGCTGGCTTCCATGCGGGCGGTCCACTGGAGCTGACGGACGACGTTGTCGGCGCCACGAATCTCCTCAAAGAAGCTGCTTCGTGTCAGCGTGGGATGGTAGAGAGAAGAATGACAGGCATCACTCACAGAGGTCCGATGTTGGGGGCGGACTGGGCGAGAATGCCACTGCGCTGGGTCAGGTACTTCTGAATATCGGCCTGGTACGGGGCCGTGCCGTCATAGGCGGTGTAGAAGTCGTAGAACTGGACAGAGGGGTGCTCGAGCACAACGTTGGTCTGGTTTGCTTGTCAGTGCCAAAACGTCGCAGTGCTTCGAAAGTCGATACTCACGTTGGTGTGGTCCTCGAGGTTGTAGCCGACAGGCAGGTTGATCCACTGGTTGCGAGAGATCATGGTCGATCCATCACGCGTCGAGTTGGAGACAACATCGAGCTGGTCAGTCGGGCCAATGCCACTGCGCAGCAGAATCTTGGCGCTGCCAAATGTGCCCGCGGACAGGATGACACGACCGGTCACGGGCGTCAGGGGAATGACGCCCTGGAAGCCGCCATCCAGGTACGGCTCGACTTCGACGCCCGTAACGTGACCGCCCGAGCGGATGACGCGCCTTACCTGGGTGTTCATGATGAGCTTGAAGTTTGAGCGTGCATTGGCGGTAACGAGGTACGTGGCCATGGGACCGCCGCGCTCGCCGTTCGAGTACATGTAGGGCGTGTATCCAAAGGTGCGATTCTTCGCATTCGGGTTGGCGTTGAAGTCCGTATCCCTCCAGCCAGCAGCGGCGAGACCATTGCGGAGCACGTCCATGCCGGCACGGAGGGAGATGACGCCGTCCCGCGATGGCCTCGTGGTTCCGGGGATGCGGTTGAAGACGCGCTGCTGGGCGGCGGCAACATCGCTGGCCTTCCATCCGGCGGGGAAGTTGTAGTCCCAGTCAGCAGCATAGGGCTATGTGTATCCGTTAGTGACACACTCTCTCGCGTTTTTTTGAGCATCAGCAAGTACTGACCTTCCACCACAAGGCGGCGTTGATGGCAGTGCCACCGCCGAGGACGCAGCCGGCCATCTGGTCAGTATCACGGCAAGCAATGCCGGCCGAGTCGTGCCAGATCTCGTTGCAGAGACCCGGTACATCGAATCGGGTCAGATTCGTGTCCGCGAGCCAGGTCGGGCCACGCTTGCCACCCCAGCGACCCGAAGAGGGAGGGCCCTTCTCAATCAGCAGCACCTTGTGGCCGGCCTCGCTGAGCTTGTCAGCGAGAGGGATACCACCAGCGCCAGAGCCTACGATGATGTAGTCGTAGGCCGTGTTGGGGACGGGAACACCCGTGACGGGCGTCTCGGGCACCGACGTTGTGGTCGGGCCAGCGCCGCCGGTGGAGGTGGGTGTGCCGCCGCCACAGTTTCCAGTGACGACCTTGTTGGCGAGCTGGGCCCAGGTGGCATAGTTGGCGTTGGTGAAGCCGGGCGTGATGGCGCCGCCGTTGATGCCCTGGCTCGCGTGCTGCTCAATGACGAGGGCCGAAGGGCAGACGGCGTTGCCGGGCGCCTTGTTGGAGAGGGCCCACGAGGTGACGATGAAGCCCTGGGTCGTGGCATGACCGCCGACGAAGCCGTCCTGCTCCCAGTTGAAGCAGTTCTGGCAGCGGTATTCGAGGCTGAAGCCTGTCGCGGTGACGCGTGATGTGATTTGCGTCTGGGAGGCTGGTCAATACGTGATGCACTTGGCGTCTAGGATCCGGGCATCGAACTCACGATTGTGGCTTGTCCCTTGTAGTTCTCGACCGACTCGCGCGAAGTGGCAAAGTGGAACGAAGTCAGGACCTCGCCCTCGTACGGGTGGGCCATGAACAGCAGACTGTTGGTCATGCTGGGCATGAGCGAGAGACCGCACCATCCCTGATCCTCGCCAGCGGGCGTCGGGCAGTTCTTTGCGCGCGTCAGAAATACCAAGCCGGCGATGCCAAGTCGATACACTTACAATGTAGCCAAGGTACTCGGTGGCGTCCACAGTCAGTGAGTCGGTAGGCAGAGCGATACCGTACGTCATGCCCGTAGAGCCCGTGTACGACTGGTAGACGATGCCGGTATCCGGACTCGTCCAGTCGGTCTGGCCTGCGACTCCCTCGAGGACTGTGAGCGTGTTAGTTGCGGCCGTGGCTGGCAGGAGTCCGTGTTCGGGACCTACAGGGGACGGCGGCCAGGAGGGCCGCACCGGCACCAACACGGCTGAAGAACCTCATCTTGGTGTCGAAGAAGGCGGCGAGAAAAAGCGTTGCAACCGATGAGCAAGAGAGCACCGACGGCCTGGAACAGGATGTCTCGATGGTTTTAAGGCGACTACGACGAGTTTCATCCTCGGGAACTCTGCGCGGCGGCCATCTTGGCTCTCTGGCTGCTTCCTTGGTCGATTGGTCGATCTGGCCAAGGAAGAGCAATAAACCATGGGACATGGTAGTCAATGGCATACACGCGAACCACGTTCGCCTCCTGGCCTTGGAGGCATTGGCAGGGCCCATGATGTTCTCTTCCGTGCCGAAAGGGGCATAGCGGGGATCGGCTCCGGTTCCAATCTGACAGGTCCATATTGCCTGGGTGGGACAAGGAGCGGCACGGTAGACAACAGTGCGTCGATTAATTGCGAAAGGTCAGTTGGCTGGTTGAGAGGGGGGGAGGCATTGCGGCATGGCGGCATTTGGAACGAACAACGGTGTTACAGTGATGTAGGTACGCGTTGAAAGAGAGTGCTCCTTTTGAGCATCTGAGAGACGAAGTTTGTGGGGGACCCAAGGGTCTTGACGATCCCGGCGAGCAGTGAAATCGACGTCGAGCCTACCTCGTGGAGTTGCACTGCAATCTTGCGCAGCCTTGGCCGACGCAGATCACTTTTTGAGTCGAGCTGTGTCATCAGCTATCCACCACCCGCCCCAGCAGTTGCCGGATGTGGGAGCACGGAATGTGCGATGCGGTCCTTGCGACACCCCACATGAAGCGGAAGCTTAGGTTGGTGCCGCCGTGTGGGAATTCCCTTGGGTGACGGTCGCTTGATCCGGGTTTCCCAACTTGGGGCATGCCCAGTTTCTAGTCGGCCAATGTGGTGTGTCTAGAATGTCAGCTGAGACCTTTTGAGAGCAGAGTGGACAAGACCCCGGGCTTCAGGCGGCATCTGTCTCTTGACAGAATGCGGGGGATTGGTGAACCACAACAGGCTGAGTAGCACGAAATGTCCAAGCGGTCGGGTGAGCTGCAGGCTAATATAAGTCAGATGAACTCTAAGAGATTCTTGCTCACTATGAATCAGCAGAAGTGGGAACTGAGCTAAGCAAACGGTCATCGTATCCCGCCCGGTCCGCCTCTTCAGGATTGTGCTGGTTTGCTGACTTGCAGGCGCCGCGAACCGCGTAAGCTGGAGTGATGGCGTGTGGTCGCATGGACAGAGGCGGAGGCAATATATCATATGTATGGAGGACCAAAGGAATCCTGCGCTCAGATGACGAGTCGGCAGATACTCTCTGGCAGTCAGGGCGATCCGCTGACCTGACATGTTTGGTTCAATGGTACGCCACGTTCCATACTGGTGGTTCGCATCGATGTCTCTATGCCATGTTGCAGCAGAAAGACAGAGAAGACATGTTGAAAGTCTCGTGATAAAGTTCGAACAGAAAATTCCCGATATCCAGATGACTTTTCGAAAACGTATGATATGGAGAGATCACGATTTGTATTGTGGTGTTGCGAGGTGCGTTCTGGCCTGCTGTGAAAGCTGACAGCCAACACCACCGGCATTTAGCCGGCGCACTGTGTTTTCCTCTTTCATCAGCCACAGCGTGGGAAGAGAACAGCAATACATGATGGGATCGTTCCACCCTCTATCGTGGTTAGAAATTTCATCAAGAGATTTGAATGCCGCAGGAAACACCAGCGTCTCTTGCGACAAAAATTCATCATTATGAGCCTATGTGGAGTGCTCGATATTCGCCACCCACTTTCATCTAGAGCACTGTATGACACCTGTAGGCAGCAGCGCGCACACTGTAAACGCACAGTACGCATCGTGTTTTTGTCACAACCTCATCCCATCAACTTCAATCGACGTCCACATCATCTTCGGACAACCCTCAAACACAATGCATACGAGCGCAACTTCTGCATTACTACCTGCTAAGATTACAGTACAGGTGATCTGTCTCGACTTCCAGGCTTCTGCTTGATGCTCGGGACACCCTGGTTTGTCCGAGAGTGGCCACATTGACTCGCTGTCCAACTACACAACTTCAACCACCTCTTCATCTACGCGCGTCCTTCCCCTTTCCAAGTCTATGTAGCCTACGAATACCACGGATGGCGCTTGGGAGCACCTTGGGTCTGTGAGGCTCCCTACTGAGCATGTCGACTTTTGACGGAATCGTCAGAGAGTTCCCAGACATTCGAGGTTCGTCCAAATCACCAATTTCTTGCCACCTCTATCAACTGCGTGGATTAACGCTGACTACCGCCAGTTGATTTCTTCCGTCGCTCTGTCGACCAGCCTCCGCCGCTCGCATGCTTTTTAAGTCATGTTCACAGCGATCACCTGGCGGGGCTCGAGAGTCTGCGCTCTCCCTTCGTCTATTGCTCGGCTGCCACGAGAGAGATTCTACTCCGCCTGGAGCGTTATCCCTGCCGCATCAACTTTGCCAAGGGTATCTTGGAGGCTCGCGTACAGACCTTTAAGGGGTTGAAAGGCCTGTTGAAGCCCATTCCCCTGGACACACCCACAGAAATTGAACTTGCTCCGGGTCATTGCATTCAGGTAACGCTCATCGACGCAAACCACTGTCCTGGAGCCGTCATGTTTTTGATAGAGGGCGATGGGAGGGCGATTCTTTACACCGGCGACATTCGGAGTGAGCCATGGCACGTAAACTCGGTCGCTCGAAATCCTGCCTTGATCGAGTACACCCACGGCATCAAGACGCTTGACAAGATCTACCTGGACACTTCTTTCATCGACGACGTCCCCTTCCAAACCAAGGCTGAGGGCATAGCGGAGCTTCTAGGGAAAGTCTCTCGGTATCCACCTGATACCATCTTCCATCTTCAGGCCTGGACGTATGGTTATGAGGATGTATGGATCGCGCTATCCAAGGCGCTGAAATCACGCGTGCACGTCGACGACTACAAGATGAGAATCTTCAGCTCCCTGCAGGCGAAGCCAGAGAACGATCGCTTTGGCCAGTCTATTCATCTGTGCCGCGAGTCGCCAGCTCTGACCGGCTACATGTGTGGCAACACCTACCGACCTGGATGTCTCACGACTGATGAGAACGTACGTTTGCACAGCTGCGAAAAGGGAAATTATTGTTCAACTATCGAAAAGGGGCCAGTCGTATGGATTCAGCCCATCATTGCCCATACGACTGGCGGCATTGACCGTCTCGAACACGGCATCGGAGGTGGAGCGGACGACCTCGAGCGCGAAGTTGAGCTCGACCTGGTGTCGTCTGCGGATCTGAATCGTCTGCTCCAAATCCTGGGCGAGAATCAGATTGTTTCCGAATCAACCAAGACAGCAGTTCGAGATTTACTGTTGAAAAAGCCACTCAGCGGACGCAACGTTCCCTTGGACCTTGACATGAGCTGCTTCGGGGACAAGAAAGAAGCAGATGTCGTGGAGGTGATGGCCTTGATCGGAGAGAAGCTCGCGCATCGCCCGGATGAAGCAGATCTCATGTTGGATGGTGCAGAAGACGGACTGCCCAAAACGATTCGGTTTCCCTACTCCCGGCACTCGTCTTTGCCAGAACTGCGTCATCTGGTAACGATATTCAAGCCCAAAGATGTTTGGCCCTGCACCGTCGATCCAATGACCTGGAACATGAATAATGTCACCATCAAAGTGCTCTTTGGTGATTGTTGTTCTGGCACTTTATTTGCACATGATGCTATCATGGAGGCATGGGCCAAGGATCACCAGCGGATGTATCGAGCGGAGTTTGAGGTTGGAGGGAACTCTCCCGTTTCGGGTCAGTCAGCCATCAGACACGCTCAACCGGCGATGATGAACACATCGCCACAACCATCTCATTCGCCCCAGCACATCACTGAAATCGTGGAAGAAGTCTGCAAATCCGCAATCTGGACAGACGGGCAGTTGACCGAAGAAGGGAGCGAAGTCATTGAAGGCAGCTGTCGCGACAAACGTAACTTTGCGGCCTTCGCCGGAGACGCCGATGACAGCCAGGACACAGTGGCGTCTCACGCATCCATCATCAGTCAGCTTGTGGAAGGTGCGTCGCTTGTGCGGGCCGACGCGTACGAGGCCATGCTCCGGAATCTCGGCGGTGGCGAATGGACAGCAATCGGGCTGCTTTCTACGACAGATCATCACACCTACGCCTCTCAGGATCCGACTACATTTTCAGACGAAAAGGGCGACCGAAACAAACGAACACGGACGGTGCAGCGCTCCCCAAGAGTTGGCATCTCAAAGCCGTGAGACATGAGGGCACTCCGTGAGCTGTGGTCCGCCACCAAGAGTCTGGGCGCAGGCCGATTCAAGGCGGGGGACCGGCCCCGCTGCGCCGTTGTCTACGTCCTGTGACCTTTGGTCCCTCAAGGTGTAGAGTGTCCATGGTGTGAGACGAGTGGCTGGTGACGAGGAGCCCAACAGAAAGTCACTTCTCCCCGCTTCTAAAGAAGACAGCGGGCCACGAGCGCTGTGACTCGTCGAGCACAATGTCACAACCATCTCGGTCTTGCCTGCCAACAGGGGAACCAGAAGCCGCCCCGATGTTCTTAGGTGCCGATAACCATGGGCTTGGTTGGCACGTCACGCACGTGAGGCAGCCTCCTTGGACTACCCCGCGCCGCCGAAAGCGAGCAACGCAAGCCCATGGCACGACCTATAGGCTGCACGTGCAGGACGAGACTGGGCCGCACGCGCCCTCTTTCGTGACATCAGCTAAGCCCACTCACGATGTTCTGGGCGCGGAGGAGGGCGTCTCGCCAGTCTTTATCAGGGACGACCAGCCCTTCCTTGCCTGTGGCGCGATAACGACAGAGCGGTCTTGGGACGTGGCACGGAAGTGAAGGCTTGGGGCGATGGATTAGGCAGTGCGGAGAGGGGTCCGGACTGGGGGAGGGAGGCTCGTGAGGGACGCCCCTTCTCTGAAAATGTGTGCGCAATTTGGTTCACCGACTTTTAACATTCTCGTCACTGTCATGTGGGCTTGACGGTGATGCCTTTCTTGCGAGGCGGTTGCTTATCTGGTATCGACGAACCGATGGCACGTGTGCCACGAGCTCAGGGATGGGAAGGAGGGGGAGAGAGTACTGGCCAAGTCGGACCTCTCAGGTGTCAGGCCTTGGGAAGCAGAGAAGGAAGAATGGGGTTGACAGGCGGAGATGTTCGC